CTTGATCTCTTGACCTCGTGATCCACCCGCCTCGGCCTCCCAAAGTGCTGGGATTACAGGCTTGAGCCACCGCGCCCAGCCCATGAATATCATATTGTTCAGGACCAGAAACTACAAGATCAAATTCAGAACTCTTCCATTTTTTGAAATTCTGTTTATTTCCTGAAATAAGATTAAATAACTTACATTTCTTAAAGCTTTGGTGAAAAACTAAAATTTGAAATTTAGAAATTTTACATATTTGCCAACAATTTAGAGTAGGGTGAGTATTTAAAGTACATTCACTGACTTCATAACTAATCTTTTGGTACAACTGGAACCCCCGATTTTTCCAGCACCCTTTTCAGTTTCCCCAAGATATTATGCACAGCAGAACTTTGCCAGCCTCTGGTCTATTTAAAAGTTTTGGGGAGCACATGGAGACTTCTTGTAATGCTAAATCTCAATCTAGAAATAATAGTGAATGCCTTTTAAATCTAAGTCTGGTTGTGGCTTTATGGCTTATTCAGTTGACAGCATAAAAATAAAAATTTCTTACCTGATTTAAAAACACAGTTTTTGGTGAGATAAATCACCCTGGTGCGTTCATTGTTTTGATTGCCCTAAGCTCTGCCTCTGTGATTTTGTCTATTTTTTTTCTTTTAATCCTCTAGATGTGCTTTTTAATTTTTTGCCCGCTATCCTCTTTGTACTGTTTTCCCTTATCTTTGCTCCTTTTTCCTCTCCTCTCAGCCTAACAAATGTGTATTACTAAGGACTTCTAGTGGCTAATGTGGGAAGTGCCTCTCAGAAATACCCACAACGGTAAACAGTAGGTCCATGCAGTGCGCATTGGACATACAGCACCTGGTAGAAAGTAACTTGAAGAACTTGAGAAAATAAACCGGTTCTTTTGACTACATGATACTATTTATTTCATGAATGTTATGTTGAAGCCAAATGGTTATTGAGTGAGTGCAGGAGACACCTATATTACACTGTGTATAATAAGCATATGCCTGTGTCTTATGTTTGTATGGTGATTACATTTAGAAACGGCACTTAAAGTTTAACCTGTGAAACGTGGCCACCTTCTAAGTGTGTGAATATGATTATATATTAATTTAGAGTGAGAAGTGATAGCGACATTGATTGTGTTAGAGGAGGCTTTTTGTAATGTGAAAATTCAACTAGATACCTATAGATAAGATGGGATGTTATTTTATAGGATTTTTATCCGAAATGTGGTACATAAGAGGTTCAGACTGTATTAGGGTTTAGATAAAAGTTATGTAACAGGAGAGACACATCGATCCCTTAGGCACTACCCTAGCCCTGGAGTGGGCTTTATGAAAAGTTAGAGTATGTTGAAAAAAGTTAGAGAATTGTTAGCTTCCTACATGTGGACCGTGGGTCACTCATAATTCAGAATTCATTCCAGATTTATATAGCATTTGGCATCTGTTTTCTGGCAAGAAATGATTGTTAAACTAGTTGAATACAGTGTTGAGGCAGGCTTATATGATGCCAAAACCATGCTTTGAATGTGGTAGAAACAGAGTTTAACTGAGACTTCAAATAAAATTGCATAGAAGAATTTTGTAAACACATTTTTTCTAAATATTTTGAAGTATTCTCCCTTCTGTAGTAAGTTCTACTACAGTACTCATTTTGAAAATTCAAACTTGCTTGAATGCAGTTTATGTTAGGTAACAATTTGAGCATACCACAAATATTGCATTTTTATGCACAATTTTGTGTGCACAAAACTGCACCTGGGTGAACTGAAATTACACACACACCCCTCAAAGATCCGCCATCTCTTTCAGTTCACCAAAAGTGTTATGAGCGACACCCTCTACATCTTGTGTTGCAATTTTCCGTTGGATTTCAGAACACCCTCCTTCCACCACTTTACAGTGACTCACAAGCTGCAACTCTTCCAATACCCACTGCCACCAGCAACCTTCAGGTCTTTTTCAAGGTTAATGGCCACGTTTATTGTAATATTCTTTCATTCTTTAACCACTTAACGTATGCAGAACAATGAAATGTCTTTTTATGTGTCACTGCCAAAGTTTTGAGTGTTGTGTCCCAATCCACTTTCCTTATAAGCCCTGTGGTTTTTATTGCACAATTTTGTATAGTGAGGTGAGTTTCAGGATTGCAGAGCTGTCATACTGCAATTACAGCAGGTCCTTGAATAATGTCATGTTGTTCTGCATCATTTCATTATGTCATTCAAGAAGGAAAAAAAGTCGATTCCCAGCTGGGGCCACTTGTATGGAGTTTGCATGTTCTCCCATATCTGTGTGGGTTTTCTCCAGGTACTGTGGTTTCCGCCCACTTACCAAAGATGAATGCCAGGTGAACTGGACAATCCAGGGTCTCAGTGTGAGTGAGTATGGTTGTGTGTGTGAGTATACCCTGCAATGAGATGGCATCCTGTCCAGGGTGCGTTCCTCTTGCACCCTGAGCTGCTAGGGTAGGCTCTGGCCACCTTAGATCCTGACTGGAATAAGTGGGCTGGGAAATGAATGAACGAATATAAGTTACTGGAAAATAAAAATTTGTCAAGTATTTGAAAATCATCCAAATGCACGATGGTATTTGTTAACTGTTTTTGAGCTGTGTGATAGTAGGAGGTTCCTCCGAAAACTTTCATTTTGCAAACATTTGTTCCTTGATTTAATACACCACCACTATGACTACTATCACTTAGGGATTCACCACAAATTGAGTAAATAATGATCTTCCTTGTTTTCATTAATCTTTCTTAAATGTATGTATAGTTCACATTTATTTCATCATTTAAAATTAGAAGTGTTTTCATCTTTATTGAGAAGTTTGATGATGTTTTTGTGACCAGAAATATGCTGTGGAAATGTAATTCTTGTTTCTATCAGTTAGCCTCTGGTAAAATTGCTTTTGTTGTACCTTGTTCACTTAAAGTCCCAGTTTCCAGGAACCTATCCATGTTAAGAAAAGACTTAATGTATATTCTCCAAAATTACTCAAGATCACCAAATGAGCAGACTCACAGCTTCCAGTACTGTGGACTCACCCTCCTCCCAGCACCTCTCTCTGCACACATCTGTAAATGTTTAGTATCCTTGTTTTTTCCTGCCCTCTGACCACTCTTGCACCTGTCATACTAGTTATTATTCTCTCTACTTATTCCAGTGATTCTGGGGCATCTTGCAGTGTTCATTCATCTTTAAAATTCCTCCCTCAGAGATACAGACATTTTTTCATCTCAGCTACTAACTCTGTGCAGAAAATTTTCAATTATCCAGTGCCAGAACCAAGTGTCACATAATTTCTGGTTGCTACTGGAGATTCTTAGGCTTCCCTACTGTAACCACCAGCTCAGTACAACTAAGGTGGAAGTTCACATCCTAAATGCATTAACATACTTAACGGAATTATAAAGCACTGTACAACTGTACAGTGTGTAACATGTTTAGTTGTAAGCTCTAAAGCACCCTGTAACTGTATGGTGTGTTACAATTTTTCTAATCCTGACCAGTTTTCCTCTCTTATCTTGGCTCTTCCTTCTGTGTCCACAGCACATCAACCACCTTGGAGTCTTCCTCTACACCATCTCTTCATGTCATCCTTTCTTTCCCAGCCCCTCTGCAGCCATTCAAGTCCCTCATATAGCAGCGGCCCCCACCTGCTTCCTGTTTCCACTTTTGTGCCCCCATCTCCCATTTCTTCTTCACACTGATCCTTGTTCATGGTTCTGAGATTTTATTTTGATCACAACACCTCTGCTTAACATTGTCAAGAGTTTGTGATGAAATTCAGACTCCACAGTGTAGAAGTGAGGATCTTAGCCAATCTGGCCCTTGCTCCTTTTCAATTCATGTTTCCTCACATTCTCTAACACGAGTTGATATGCCTAGACAGCTTAACAATATTTTATATGATTTCAAGTCCTGCCCTTCCGCATCATGCCTGCAGTGGGGTCATATGTGTGGCAGCGCCCAAATATACTCCTCTGTATGTTTGTTAACAGTTGAATAGTACTTTTTATCAAGCACATCTCAGGTTCTTTCTATAACTTTCTTTTATATAGGCTTTTATTTTCCCTATAATTTGCATAGTGAAAGATGTAGTAGTGGAAGTGAAGTTTCATGACACACCCAGGACAAGTTACTCTGGAAACGATTTGTTATTTAGAAAGTGTTTTCATAGTGACCTTGCTGGAAAGGAACGGGACCACAGCTCTTTAAGATATGGTGGATCTCGACACTTGGATCGTCACCAGCTCTCTGCCCTCCCCACAGTGGACCGCAGCTGCAGTTCTCCCTCCATGTGAGATGGAAAAGGGAGCTGGGTTTCATTGTAGCACGCAGCTGGGCAAAGACCCCTACAGCAATAATCCTTTAGCATTTCAATTTAAATATGTGACTTCTGTATTATGTTTAGGTATTTAAAACTGTGTTTTATTTTCCAACAATAACTTTATAAACGGTGCCTCTTCTATTAGTTCAACTCTGTGAGATTTTTCTGTACTTGGAAGCTTTAGTAAAGGAAAAACTTAACCTCTAGGTTTCAGTTAAGAAGTCTCAAATCCTGATGTTTTAGGACCAAACTAAAGTTCTTCACCCATACAGTAATAATTATTTTAAAATGTTAAAAAGAGAAATTACATTGTAACTCAGAGAGGTATTTCTTTCAAGACAGCAGAAAAAAGCACCAAAGCTTACAAACTCCTGAGGGCATCTTGATCTTACTTTCTGCCCCATTGAAGGCATTAGTGAACTGACCAGCCTCGCAGGGGCCACACAGCACAACAAGGCTGATCATCCACCAGGAACATTGAGCTTTAAGAGGCTGTTTTAATCCATTTTGTGCTGCTATAACAGAATACCACAGCCTGAGGAATTTATAAAAACTCAAACTGATTTTCTTAGAGTTGTGAAGGCTGAGAAGTCCAAAATCAAGGCTCAGTATCTTGCGTGGGTCTTCTGACTGGGTCCTCACGTGGCGGGATACAGAAGGATACTAGCTAAACACTGTGTGAAACCTCTTCTATAAGGACCTTAATCCCATTGACTAGGAGGAGTCCTCTTGGCTTCATCACCTTTTAAAGACCCTGCCTGTTACTACAATCACATAGGCAATACTTCAATTTTGAAGGCGACACATTTAAACCATAGCAGAGGCTGCCAATCAACTAATTCTGACTAGATGGGGAAAAATTACTTTGGATTGAATTAATTCCTGTCTTCTGAAAACCTTATCCATGATCACATTTGCTATTTTGTATTCATTCCTGGAGTCCAGAGAAACAAGTCCTGCTTTGGTCCAGTCCTCCCAAGGTCATCCTGAGCCTGGTGGTGCCTGAAGCTACATCTGCCTCCTGGGCATTCACTGGTCCACTGAGGCCTATCATGGATCTCCAAGAGGGTCATGGCAGTATGGGGTCATTCACAGGAGTATACGTTGTCATTTTTGTAAGTCCATTGGCGTGTTTGAGAATGATAATCTTTAAATTTTTTGAGTTTGGAAAGATACTTCCCTGTTATGTGTCAAATAATTATGAAGCTTTTTTTTACGATCTAGGCTTTTACTTTTTTTTTTTGAGATGGAGTTTTGCTCTTGTTACCCAGGTTGGAGTGCAATGGCGCGATCTCGGCTCACTGCAACCTCCGCCTCCTGGGTTCAGGCAATTCTCCTGCCTCAACCTCCTGAGTAGCTGGGATTACAAGCATGCACCACCATGCCCAGATAATGTTTTGTATTTTTAGTAGAGACGGGGTTTCACCATGTTGACCAGGATGGTCTCGATCTCTAG